TTTTTCCTGTCAAAGGAAGTAACTTTGAATCAAATGAGCCTTCTAAATGAAGACATAAACCAGTTAACACATATTTTCTGTCAGTGTGAATGGACATGAACTGCAGTTGCCCCTATCTGTATTGCTTTTTATATCTAAATATTTCTATACAGCATATTTTGTCTTTCCATTTTAGTACATATTCTGTTTCAAAAAGTTCCATGGAAACTAAAGATATTTCAGCAAAGGAAAAAAAAATCAGAACATATTTCTATGTTTAATCAGGTTTGCATGTATAGTCTGGTATTCTGTTAAATAAGTGTTAGTGTTATTCTCTAGGCTATTGAATAAATTGCATTTTTATTTTAGTGGAATTTGTGTTAGCATAGAAGGAAAAGTAACCACGTATTTGAGCAAGGTTACAACAGTGGCTACTGTGAAATCTAATCTAATCTAAACTGGAGCAAGGCGGTAAATCAAATAACAAAGGATTATGACATAGCTGTGATATACTTTTTTTTTTTTTTCTCATTAAAGAATTACGCAATGTCCTTAAGAAACAGTCATTTGATGAGCATCTCAGGGGATCAGATTTATATGGAACTACTAGAAATATGCTTAAATGGACTCCATCAACACTAAGTTACATTCACCCTAGGATTATCAGAAAGACAGAAGGAAAAAACTACAGAACTTTACTAGTGTAGAGATATGTCTTCTTATGCACTATGACAAGAAAAAAAGAAAGGAGAGATAAAGTATGCTTCTCTTTCTCCTTGTTAAATTTTCACGTGTTTCCAGAAAGACCTTTGAATCAGAATCAGGATTTATTTTTTCATCCTCTTTTTATATATATTTCTTTTAACTTTTAGATTATCTTGTGACAACATGTTTCTCTTTTTATTCTCCTAATTAAAATATAAGCAAGTCATATAGTCCCTCTGTACAGAAGGTCCTCTCTCTGTTAAACAGCCCTAATGAAGTTTGCTTATCACTCAGGAAGAGTGCTGTGAAGACTTAAGTAGGATATAAATGGTGTATAGACCTCACACCAGCTGTCTGACCATGCATAATTTTTTCCTTAATGTTTGTAAAGCAGCGTGAGTCTGTTTGGATGGAGGGCAATATGCCAGGTACAGTTATGTTTGACACTTCAATTAGAAGATAGGATTTTAGCTTCACAGAGTGAAGTCTACTATTGTAAGAAGGCAACATGTTCTTATACTTACTTTGCAGAGCAAATCTGTACAATTTTATAGCAACCTTATTGACTATTTCATTGATGGTTATATTAGAAGGAACATACATACTCCAAGTTTTATGGCCATAACTACAGCAGGGAGCTAGTCATTTCTTTATTATTTTTTTTTTCTCCATACCCATTCTTAGCCCTCTGCAATTAACTTTTAGTTGTTTTCCCTCATCCCAAATTGCTTTTGTGTCTTTTTTATTATTTTTTTTGGCCTTGGTTCTAGTATAAACCAGGGACAATGCCACTATAGTTTAAGAACATAACCAAATCCGTAAAAATACTTTAAAATAATTCCAGAAAGCAAATCTGGGATGAGAAAGGTCTCATCAACTACCTATTTGTAAACTGAGAGGCAGACCATAGCTTTGCAAAAAATGCCAGCCTCCCTTGTTTCATGACTCTATAAACCCTCACGCAAAACAAATCCCATTTGTTCTCCTATGTGCCCTTTAAATACCCAGTACTTTCCCATTAACTTAATTATTTAAGGTTTTCACTCCCATGCCATTGCATGTACAGATGCTACGTGTATAATACATTAAACCTGCATAATTGACTTACATTTAAGTGTCACCAGTTGTGTAATGTTCTGTGTTTGCTTTGTATTCATGACACCGTGAAGAAATGAAATGCTTTGTGTTAGTAAACAGAGTTCTGTTTATTGCTGCTCAGAGTTGGAGCAAATTGGGAAAAAGACACCACTGCTATTAAAAAACACAGACTTGAGCAAAGAGAAGCAGTGATAACCAGTGGATCATCTGCATTTGCATCATCTTAAACAGTAAATGCTTTTCTGCAACCTCCAAGGGAAAACAGTAAGAACATGTTTTGATACTGATATTTTCCTGATATTTGAAAGTGTAGCCACATCCATAGCCAGGAAACCACACCTCTGAGGAAGCTCAACAGAATTGAAACATTAGTGTCTGCATATTTCTTAATTACCTGTGGTGCTGGGTGGCCTGATGAAAATCAAACCAACCAGAAAGACTTAAAAGGAAAAAAATCTCAAACCAGTAGCATCTGAATCACTTTCCTGAGATTTGTCATTACTTTCCAATTACATTACCCATGTGTTGGGATTAAGAGTAAAGTCTCCAAACAAAGCCAGAATAAATTGTAAGGGCTTCTGGTAGCTGACTGCTCAGGTATCGAATGTTGCTTGTAAATACCTTTACAACTTTTTTAAGCAGTGTTTGTCACCTTAAGTTTGAAACTGTCAGTCAAGTCTGGCAAGGCCCAAATGATTCAGGGGAAATTTTCTTCTGAGACAGGTCATCTCTGTGCATTTCCCCTGGGTAAATTTGCCTTAAAGACACATTAATCAGTAACAGTTGTATAATTCAGTGTAGCACTGATCTTTCTCTCCCATAGCACAATCAGTCACCAGATGCCTGTCATGAGTGTTATGGTTATGTGGGAACAATGTCCAGCCTTGTCCAGTAGGAACTGGAAGGAAAACAAACAAACAAACAAACAAACAAAAAACAAACACTACTGATATCCTCAGAAGTGAAAGAAAAAATATCAAAATACTGTTATATTGTGATTACCACATTTATTGTTTCCATCCTGCATCTGCAAATTGAATACTTCGCAATTTTAGATCTATATGGCAAAATGTACTTCAACAAGTCTAAGTGTCTGTAGATGAGCTAGTTGCCTGGGATCCTGCCGTACTCATCATACTCATTGGAGAACTAGTTCAATAAAGTTAGCAGAGCTTAGGATGCTAGTCATGTAAAGTAGGTGCCTACCTTTGGCCAGACAAACTGTGCATAAAATCTTTGGTCAATAGCTCTTCATGAAGTATACTGCCTACCTTGGCCAACAGCAAAACTACAGGCATCTATACTGAGGACATCATGTGCTCGTTACCTGAAAAAGCATTTAGAGCCATATGAAATACAGTAGGTTATCTCACTTGTATTTCCTGTACATCTTGTGTCTTATGTGCCAACCCCATGCAGATAGTTCTGACCCTTTAAGGGGATGAACATGGTACATTGGAGATGTATTCTTAGGAAATGGAAGCAAACCTTTAATCTCTAATTGAATATCACCCATGAAAGTTTGAGTTTGAATTAAATGCAGTGAATAATTTTGTCTGAAGAAATAGAATAACAAATAGAAAAAAAAAAAAGTTTCATTCAACATGAGTTGAAATGTTTTAATTTAGAAAAATAATCAGTCTTAGAAGATGTAAAAATTGGAAATTAAAGTTGAAAATTAAATTACACCAACGCTTAAAAAAATGTAATGTTTTATACTGAGGTGAGTGAGCTTATATATATATATATATTTGCATTTCTCCAGGAGTAAATACAAGGAAAATAGTGTAAGTATCTCTTTTCATTTTTGGGTATGGCTGTTGTGTATTTATGCTCTTGGCTATTGTTGTGACGAGTCTGAATTGCTCATCTCACTTAACTTCAGCCATCTGGGGCTGCATCTATATTGGTAAATAAAACAAGACCAGGGCATAGGCTCGGGCTCTGGACTGTGGTGAGCCTGAAATGATCAGCATTTTGAACCATTTTGAACTTTCTTGAACAATGTCCAGACAGTTCAGAGGGTACCATGCACCAGAGACAAGTCTCAACAGGCTGTTTGGACAATAATGCACCAGGTTTAGCTCTTTACACCCTACACAGTCGTCTAACACTGTTCCGTCAGAATATGCATTCTCAAACACTACCATCTGCCATGCCCAAGGGCCTGTAACACATACTTTTATCTTCATGGTGTGAAAACACCATTGTGAGAGGTTTCTATATAGCCATTACATTATTTTTGATAGTCTGAACTGAAAAAAAAAAAAAAAAATGTTCATATGTTTCATTATGACTTCCAAGAAACACTCCAGGGAGTCTAGAGGAGATGCAGTGCCAAATGTTATGCAGTATGGAAATGACCTGTTGGTGTCAGTTGTTTTTGGATTCAGAGAACAATCCCTGGCCCTTTTCTATTTAGCATATACAGAACAAGTACTTATCTGGCCATTTTAGTAATTAATGTTTCAGAATAGAGGCACTTCTAAGTGTTCATATATCCCACACATATCAGAAGTGTATCTCAATGTGGGAATTATCATCCCCCAGAGCTGCCTTGCTTCCACTAGCTGTAGTTCTCTCCAAGCAGAAACTGAACGTTTACATGGATAAAGTTAGTGGAGGTGTCTAGAACATGATATGCATGGACTATGCATGAGTGATATCATAATATTATCAAATAGTTTCTACAGTTTTTGTTTTCCCCTTACAATGAAAGCTTTTCTCCCTATCTGTGTGTTCCTATTTTTCTATGCATGAGTTACCTTTCATTTGGCACCATTAGATCACATTACCCTCTAAAAAGAAAGTAAGCAGAAGTCATTTGCATCACATAAATCCCAAGCATTTACCATTCCTCTGTTAAGTGGGGTGAGTTGGTAACATGTCTGTCTTCTGTGTACTGAATCATCCTCGAGGCAGAATTTTCTACAACTTGCATTTAAGAAAGTTCAACATTTTAAAGAATTAGTGATGCAAAATTAAGCACTCAAATCTGTTGTTTGCACAGGATTTGTACTAAATTAAATGGAGCCTATCTCTCCTGACGAAATTCACCCACAAAACCTCTTCAAAGAGTGGAAGGGCAATGCAACTGCTTCAAAAGCCTGGCTTACACACAGCTTACTTTCATTTCAGACTGTGCTCCCTCTGCCCCACGGGGGCAGGTTTTCTTCTTTCTTAATTGATTTGATTTCATCGACAACCGTATAATTACTCCTTCAGATAAGGTCCTTTCTTTTTCGTTATTTATGTCATGTGCCCTAGTTTACAAGCCTTCACTGTGAACTACAGCACTTGGGTGAAACAGCTGGTTGGTAAGGAGATTCCAGTCACATGAAAATGTGGGAACAAGAGCCTGCATGGTGGGTTGTAAAATGAAATGTCTTTTTTATGCACTTTGAGCCCATATGTGAGGATTGAAAGCATATCCATATTATTGAAATCAGGGGAAGTAATCTCATATCTAAGGTTTGACTTATGATAACAACTGAAAACATCACATTGTTTTTCTGTGTGTATCAACTTCTGATTTAGTGTTTCAGGCAGGTAAACCAGCTACAATTCACACATACATGCACATATATCAAATACAGGTGACATAGAAAGAATACTGGATGCATATATCTGATGGTAGACACTTCTTTTTTTTTTTATCAGCTATAGAATAATAAAGAGACATAAATGAATCATAAAGGTTGAAAGACAAAGCATCTGGAAGTCAGAAAAAAATCAAATTAAGGCCCATATTGTGTAACTGATTGGAACCAAAATAATTTGGCTGTGTGAAAGATATGAAAGGAGATACTCTGATTTTGTCTAGAGGTTGACCTAAGACATTACTTAAGAGAACAGGAGTTCATCTGTATTATACATTATGAATATCTTTTTGTTGTGCTAAAGAAAATAGCAAATGGTAGTTTATTATGCCTGAAAAGAAGAAAGAAAAATAATTCATGAGGACAGTCTATTCAATACAGAGTGTGTGATATGTGGTTTTGGTGCTTCCTAGCATTTCTCCTAAACACCCGTTGTGGCTGTTGTTGAAGACCTGACCCTGGAGTAAAAGGATCCCTTCCCATAGGCAGTACAATTCTACTGAGAAGGGTAAGGAATGGGGAAGGTTTCAGCCCACCCTTCTAATGACAGCAAAAGATGACCAAACGTCTGCCTTCTCTTATGGACTGAGAAGATATCACTGAACAAGGAAGATAAATCCCAAGGATTGAAAAAAAATGATTTGGTGTTCCATTTACATTCTCTGATCTCAGAGAAGGAGAATGAGTATAGTCCTGACATTGTAAGCTTCTCCAACATGATCCACACAGTTCAAAATGTATTTTTGTTTGTTTGCTTGCTTTTGTTTGTTTGTTTGTTTGTTTTCTTTTCACAGAAGAGTTTGTGATTGTATAGAAACATTTAGGAGCATGGTTGAAAGGCTGCTTTATTGTCTTACTCATCCTGTCTACTTTGTTTCTTTGTTTAGATATATTTCACCAATATTGTTTTGTTTTTACACTGATTAGTACTTCAGACCTGGACTCCTCTCCATCTCTGAAATAACTAACAGCAGTGCTAGCTAAATTCTAAATTCTTAACCTCAGTGTTCTAGTTAAAGATTTCACTTATAATGTGGCAGAATAATAATACTTAAACATACCATATATGCTATATGAAAAAAATGTGTAAATGGAAACAGAGGTAGGGGTGTAAATCAATGGTATTTCTATATAGGTTTTAATTCAACATGAGATGCTTCAAGATTTGATGTATTTTTGAGAAAAAGGCACTGAATGGGATCTTAATATTGTAATTTTAATATTCTTCTCAGTGGAATAGTTCTATTTTGTATTTGATTCCATCACATTAGGTAACTAATTAGAATGTAGAAAAAAAATAATACTCTGAAATGTTTTAAATGAAAATATTTTAATATAATTTAATATAAATATTCTGATGTATCTCAGAATTACTTATAAAAAGTTACATTTGTCATATATGTAAAACTTAGGATTGTTTTCCCTTCAACTATAAGTAGCTTTCTTTCCTGTCAACAAGTTCCTGAGTTTGAACTAAGTCATTCTGCTATGTCCTGTGTTCATGCAGCAGTTGCCCTGGGGAAAAATGACAATTTAATACAAAAACACAGTCAGGGATATGTGGGTGGCAATGACAATGGCAGAACTAAGGCTCAAAACAGGAGACAGACTTTGAATACCAGATTGCTGATTATGCTCTAAAAATAACCCTTAAATATTCAGCTGAATATATGAATATATTCATGATTACTTTATAATAAACTTGTTGTATAGATTTGTTTTTCTTTTTATATCCGTAGGTCATTTTAATGCTTTTGTAACTCTTTGTGACTCCATGCAATGACAAGGTGGAATGTGCCTGCTTTCCAATTTCTGAGATGCTGAGATACCTGCTTAAACTCTTCAGAGTATTGGATTCTCTTCTGAACTTTGTATCCAAATTTATAAATGATTTTAAAGACTTCTTCCATTAAAACTATGACTAGGAAGCAGGTTGGAATTCAATTCTCCCCAAGAAAGTTTATTTTCCTACAAATTACATTTTGAAATACCAAAACAGTGAAATATTGAAATAGTTATTTATTAGACACGTTTACTTTTTCTTATTATTCTATTTTCAGATAGTCAATTGATACATTTAGTTACAACTGCTGAACCCTGCAGTACAGACAGTTTTAACTTTCAGAAGCAAGGAACAGGCCTTGTCTATGCTTTCAGTGAGATTTTTATTTATTTTATTTTCGCTTAGTTTAGTTTTATTTTAGTTTATCTCATTTTATTTTTTGAAAAGTAAATATGCAGAAGAATAAAGAAGAATAAAAGTAGAGCTACAGAATGAGAAAATGGCATATTTTCCCTGTTCTGGCAGGAGCAAGGGTGTGAAAAAATTAGAAACACTTAAAAGAATAGCCAATAGAATAAATCACGAGACAACTCATACATAATTGGCATAGACAATTTGTAGGAAATCAGAGAGAGAGAAGGGATTTAATGGTGATTCAGAAGTGTAGAAGAGGGCAACTGTATAATAAAAGAAATACAAACACTATGTGGAGGTCATGTAGAGGTGTATAAACAGATGTGATGTCTTAAAGACACATGAAGCAAGTTTTCTGTCCAGTGTGGCAGACAGAATCCTCCATCCAGATTGCGAAATCACAGTTGAAGAAAAATGTTGACTGTCTGAACTAATAAAGAATGATAACTAGAGTGAACAGAAATCAATAAGTGTAAGGGAATGGGAGAAATCTTCAGTGAAAAAATATATATATATATCACTGAGAAGTAGAGGGGGAATAAATTAATTTTGGAATCTACTAAAGATAGGAGAAAAAAAGCAATGGTTAAAAATACAGGAGGAGAGATTAATGTTCAACATTAAGCAAAATATTCAGTGTGAACATGAGAGAATTGCCTACAGTGCTTGCAAGCTTTTTCTGTGGTTAGATGTTTATTTAATTAAAAGTTGAATGATTTTTTATACAGGATACTGTTGGAACAGTAGGTCTCTCCTTAGTTAGGCAGATGGATAGAATACTGCATATTTTCTTATGTTCTCATGAGTTCAAGTACCACTTTAAAAAGTCAGTTGTTTGCTGTGCATGATGGTAAAATACTTAAAATTAGGCCAGTGCAATAATATGATGAATCTGACTAAGCAGATCTCACTACTTTCAGCAATTTTTGGCAGTCCCAGGCACTAGAATCAAAATACTTAAATATGCCTGTTCCATAACATCTTAATCTCTTTAAAATCTAAAATGCTTAATCTTAAAAAAAAAAATCTTAACATCTAAAATGCTTCACGAGGTTTCACTGCATGTTTCTTCTCGAGACACAAGTTCAAATCATTCTTGTAACACAGATTAACACTAAAAAATTGCCAGAAAAAAAAAATATTATTTATTGGCTGGGAATGGAATGAAAAAAGGTTGAACTTGGGGGGGGGGGAGGCTGGGATAAAAACAATTCAGCAAGACAGAAAATAAAGGAACAACAACAACAATAATAAAGGAATATACAAAACAAGTGATGCACAATACAGTTGTTCACCACCAGTTGACCAATCTTCAGCCAGTTCTTGAGCATTGGCTCCCCCCCAAGACAATTCCCCATACTGCTTATGAGTTATCAGCGTTATTCTAATCCTAAATCCAAAACACTGCACCATACCAGCTACTAGGAAGAAAATTAACTCTATCCCAGCTGAAATCAGGACACATATATAAAACTGTTTTCCTAGAATATTTTTACACTTACATGTTATTTTATAGTACTTTATGACTTCATTGGAACATATTTTGCTTCCATAATAAATTGTATTGAAGTAACAATAAGATAGAAATACAAGTACTAATTTGATAGAATTTATATTTATGAGAGGAAGAGTAACTAGATCATCTCCATAAATAAAGAAAATGTGGTAAAATTAGTTACTGAAGGCTTTTGGAGAAGACTCAAAAATAACATTACCTACCCATATTAAAACATAAAGGTTCCATAAAATCACAGATCAAAACTGCTCAGCAATGTTTTTCATTTTGTCAGAGAAAAATTAAAATATTTGTAAGGAAAGCATTTTCTATGACATCTTGACATTTTTTAAACATATAAAATTTTAAAGCAGACACCTAAAACAAGCCTCCTGGATCACAAAATTCAGTCTCGATGCTATCACAACCACAATATCTAGTCCTTCCACTGCATTTATAAATGTCTATTTTAAGATTCTGAAGAGCTTTTTTATTCTCACCTGTCCTACTGGAAAGCTCTTTAGGACCTCACAGCTGTGATAGTTAGAAAATTCCTAATTTCCATTCCAAATTTATTCATGACCAATAATAAAGAATCATCTCACATTTTATCAGTGAGATAATAAATGTCATTTCTCTGTAACAGGATGAAAGTCAGCAGAACAGATTGTGAATCCCTTAAGAAAAGAGTGTAAAAAAAATGCTTAAACCAGATACAAATGAAATTTATGCTCAAGCTATATAATATATATATATATATTGTTATTTTTAGGGATTTTTTTTCTTTCTCAAAGCCTAAATTTGAACAGCTTATCTTTTACTAGATAAAATGTTTAACCTATGTAGAAAGTATGTTGGTTTTAACCCTTACTAGCAAGTCAACATACATTCTTTACAGGAAGAAATTAAAATATCTGTAACCTGATCCCAGCAAGTAAGTAATTTGGCTATTTATTGTAAATGTTTGGATAAGGTCTTGTCTATTCTAATAAATTGCTCATCATGTTGCTCACGGGATGCCTACAGCTATGGAACTAAAAGTGCATGTAAGAAGAAAATTAAATTTAAAATGAAAATAATAACTATAGCTATGAGTCATTTTTAAACTGTTAGTTCCGGAAGTTTTGCATTGGTTTATACCAGTTAAAACTTTGTCTCTTTGTTTTTCTGTACCTTTTTATCTTTCTGTATAATGTAATCATCATCCTAATCTTCAGGCATTATGTGGAAAATGAAGAGTGACAGTTCTTTATATCCCTGGATGCATCTTGTTGTCCACCTAATAGCAAACTGCCTTTTCAAAAAGAATTCAAATTACTGAGCATTTTCCGTAAGGAAATTTTCTGGATCATTCACATTGTTTGATTACTGAAGACACTTTTACAAACCTTATGTAATATTATTCATTACAGATAGAGAATTTCATCTCAGACCTTTTTGCTTATGTGGTCAAAACATGGGGCCAATGCTTAGGAGACACAGATTTACTCCCTATTATATATCAGCTTTTATAGCTTAAAATAGTGTGAGCAACATTTTCCATTTGATACTTACACATTTTTCTCACTGTTACTTTTGAAAGAGTGATTTTTGTCATATATAATAACCATTTTTTTCCACTGTGCTTCATGAGAAAAAGAAAAAAAAAAAAAAGGACAACAGAAATTAGAGGAACGGAAAAGCAAACATTTAGATCCTAAATTAGACAGGAGATTTGAACCTTTAATTTTAGATTCTCCATTGATGCTGCATAAGCAACAGTGTTGTAACAGGTGCTTTCCATATTAATGCCTACTTCTGTTCAGAGTACCAGCTGCCAGGTGAAACCTTATTCAGGTGGCTGTATTTGTAAAACAGTCAGGTAATGAACTACATATTCTCTTCATGGTGACTTTAAAACTTTGTGACCTTGAATATTCCCAAAACAATCAATCCACGTGCCAGATTCATATGCCTTTTCTCATGTTTTTCAATTTCTTACTCTTCATATAATTTTTTTAGTGACCTTCCTAGCAGAAATTATTATTTCTTCACCAAAACAATATGGGATTAATTTTTGTTGTTGGTGTTCAGGGTGCAATATATGTTTCTTTTCATCTTTGAGGAAGATAATATGTAAGGCAAGAATGCATTAGGAGGGGGTGCTTTAAGATCACTTTGTTATGCAAGTAATTGAGCATAGCCAACCTTTTCTGGCTTCATGGTTTGTTTGTTTGTTTCAAGTGTCTCTTATTTAGAATTGAGTAAAATATTTAAGATCTAGACATGTTCTCTCAAAATTAGTAACAAATTCTGTAGCAGCAGCAGGAACATGCTCCATTTCAGTATCCTCAAAGAAGCACTCATGCCCAAATTCACTTCAGAACTATTCACCAAAGAGATGCTGATGCAGGCATGCTGCAGTTTAAGAGCAGTCCCTGATTTAAAGCTGCGTCATTAGCACTGAATGGCTGTCTGAGTGAACAGCAGCAGCAGCTTGAATGAGAGACCGAGGGTAGCCAAATTGGATATCGTACAATATGTACAATATATATTATTCAAATAGACGGAGGTGTGAGGCTAACATCTGGCTGACTCATCTTATGAGTGCCAAAATATTCAGGCACTCAGGTTTGTGCTATTCCAGGAATCACTCAGGTACTTATGACAAGTAGTTTCAATAAACTGGAAATGCTTATCTCAAGTATTAAGCTAGTACTCTTCCACCGAGGAAAAAAAAATAAATAAATAAAATAATCCCAGCTTTGCTAAGAAGAGTCTTGTATTCCCCAGTTCTTGAGCCACAGAAGAAGAACATGACATAGGGTAAGCAGAGACACTACAGCCTCTACTAAAGTTTGGTAAAGTGGAATATTTTATAAACTTGGATTTTTAGCTTATACTTCCTTTTTTTTTTTTTTTTTTTTTTTTTTTTTTTAACAGAGCACAAGACGTGGAAAAAATCTTTTCCTATTTCTCAACTTCAGGAGAACTAGAGCAGTGTTCAGTGAGGGCTCAGTGTTCAGGATAATCTCCGGTGATC